ATTGTTTCACTCTTTAAAGACAAGCTTCTAGCTGATTTTATGAGGATAGGCCCTGAGTAAAATACAGAAAATAGTTTTATGCCAGTACTTAAGAAAAGTTTCATCATATATATTATTGAGTTTTGCATTTGGGTAGTATTTATCAAAATATCCCTTTTGCCTATTATATAAAAGTTATCAAAACTTAAATCAGAGAAAGAATATCAGGAGAACAACTGATAAAGTTTCCAGATATGCCTTTTCTTGCTTCTTTATGAGTTCTATTTCATGCTCAGCCACTTTATTACCTAAAACATATTTTCCTCCCTTTCCCTTTGTTCTCCCAGCAGCTTCCTGGGATTCCTTCTGTGGACTACCTAAGAGCGCAGAAGGTATCCATGCACCATTATCAGGTCTGTTGTCACATGAGATATATTATATGGATTTTCAGGCAGCCTATATTGTCTTGGAGACAAAAATGAAATGTCTATTTCAGGAAAGAAGTGACAAGCTTAAACAAAAGTATAGCTGCAAAGACCCACACAACTACTGAACTAGATGCGGCTCTGTGGCTGGTGATATGTATGTACAAGATCAGACTAGAATTAATTATCCTTTAGTGTGTTTACAAATCTGTATTCACTCTGGTAGCTGAATCATTTTGTTATCACGTTAACTCTTACAAAGAAATGTCGACAGATATTTATGCATTTATTTAAAAATTGCATTCTGATGTTGCCTTACTTGTGCAAGTAGATCTGCAAAATTTGGTCCATCACTGGGACCAATATCTCAGCTATGACTACATGTATGAGGATCATTCTTGCTCAGAATGTTTTAATTTTCTGATAGTGCTTTGATTTTCGTGTTTCTTTGTGAACTTAACAGTTTAAGCCTAGTGCTCGAACTAAGTTTCTCTGCTCAACATTTTTTTTTGTATGTATGTGGAAAGTATTTATATTTTACTTGATTTTTAGTAGTATGTTTCCTCATTTTGTGACAAATATTCTTTTTGATGAATGGTAATCTAAGGCCTGAATGTTTAGCAAAAACTAATTCACCACAAAATTCCACATGATGAATCAAAACACAAAATTTTCATTTCTTTAAGACTCCTGCATATAAGGAATGTCATTTCAAACAAGAAGAAATTACTTAGGAACTAATCATTCTGACATACAGTCCTGGGACAATTGCGTTAGTTGTGGAGTTCTCCCTAGAACCACATGCACGTAATTTTTGGTTTACAATACCAAGATAAATCAAGACTATAGTTAAAGTCATGTGATGCTTCCCCATTATGACATATATTCAAAAGACAATAGAGCTAAAAGCATATATATGGGTATGTGTTTGTATATTAAAAAATGTAAAAATAAATACATATGCATGTTTTTAACCTTACGCTTTTGTATGTATATGTCTTTGTATATATACATATTTTCTAGTGCCTTACTGTTTGTGATTAAATATTTTCAAGCTTTCTTGAAGCAGTTCTTTCCAACAGTGATTTGTTCCCTAATATAGATTTTATTTAGGGTTGAGAAAACAATTGGTAAGGCAATAAAACTTAGTATTCAAAATATATAGCAAATATGTGTCTTTTACAACAAACTTAATAGTTCAAATTATCAAATGGGACTCTATATTTTCTAGTGCAGGGCTGGGAATTTTAATTGAAAACATTCACCTTTATTATTGGAACAGTGTGTGTATATATATATATATATATAGAAATAGTATATAGCTATGGTAACATACTTGTTAAATATGGGGATCAATTTTGTTAACATTCAATTCTAGAAAGAACTCTAAAGAATTTCACTTCTTTAACTTCACTTATTGTAACAGTATAGTTTAATTTACTTTGCTAAAACTTAAAATAACTAATGCTTATTTCCAGCACTTAATGAATATTTACTTGCTACAAGCCTTAGTACAGTAAGTACAGCTGAAGTAACTGCATAGAAAGCAACAGTGAAATGAAATTACATATTAATGGAGATTTGACCCATTTGGAATATTCACATCATCTACTTCAAGGTCTGCAACTCGGACCTCCCTCCTGACAGTGCCTGTCTTCCCTCTCATAACTATGTAAGACCTTATGTATACCTAAAATTAATGTTCCTATGGTAACTGAATGAAGAAATGTAAAAAATATTTGTTTGAGAAATGAGCACTTGAAGTGATAATGGCAGGGAGGCATTTCAAACAAATCTGCAGCTAAGTGAGGCTCATGCATAATAGCTGTCCTGGGCTTCCTCCAGAGCAGTTGTGCTGTAGGTCTGTGAAGCCTGAAGGAAAAGGCAATTTTAAAGATGTTCGAGGAAGTCAGTTCTCCATATGGATGCGTGGGTAAAGCTGACAAACTGCACAGCTACAGCTCTGGGTTTTGAATGTGAAATGTCCAGTAGATACAAGCCCCCAGCTGTGAATACTCACCTGTTTGTGCACTGCCACAGTGACAGAGTCCTTTCTTGGGGAGGCTAGGACACTACTGACTCCTCTTCAGCTTTGTGCAGCACACTCAGTAATAAGCAGTAGAAGAGGCAGCATTATGAAGTGTCAGCTCCACCTTGGAGCTTCCAGCTCCAGGAAAGTCATTCTCCCAGGCAGGGAGAGCATGAGTAAGAAAAAAGGCAGAGGGAACCAGGCTTGGCAAGCAGAAGTTGCTAAATACTTCATTGAGATGCTCACAGTTTTCACCACAGATCTATGCCCTTGCCTGTTGTCCCTTATCTTGTATTTGGGCAGTTAATTACTCCCACACATCTGTACGGCTTTGAACTCTGTCCAGTTAAAGATCATCAACATATTTTTGCAGTCTAATCTTCCAGGGTCACTCTGAAGTCTCCCTTCACGAGTGAACATATGTACCTGAAAATAATGAAGAATGTTTCTGCTAAGCTCTCTGGTCCCTCGTTTGTGCCTCACAGAGAGTGATGAAATAAGTAAAGCTTGATCTTCATCAAATTAAGTGAACTTAATTGACTTCAATGAAGATTCTTAAATTGGAGTGCCAACAAGCAGCGCTGTGGTGCTATTTGGCTGCATGCATAAAATAAAGAATTTTACCCAGTCATTCTGGCACCAAAGTCAGAAAATGCAGTTGATCATAAATCCAAGTGAGCTGCTTGGTTCAATTTTGTTTGGAAAATTATCAGTCAGAGCCTGGTATACAAACAAACCACTACCATTCAGAGCTAAACTCCAAATATAAGATATATATACATATATATATATATACACACATGCAAAAAAAAGCAGAGAGTTAAAGGCTTGCATACATGTTGTACAGAATTTTCCAAGCAACCCCCCAAAATAGCCTTGTCATAGAGAAGGTCACAAAGGAAAGAAAAAAAAGAAAGGAAGAAACAATTTAAAGGTCTTTCATTTAATCTGATACAAAATACCATATGTTTTGCATGCTTCATTAATGCTCCCTGGTTTGCTGCCTACAAATGCACAATGAGTTCAACCTTCAGGGGTCAGCAGTGTTCAGCATATCTGCTAAGGGAAGGGAGTTGTAAGAGACTGTGGGGACTATCAAATAAGGGCCGGCTGTCTTGAATATTAATCCTGCAGATTTTAGGTTGAACTGTTTGGAATCTGAAAATCAGCTAAGTACATTCTCCAGCTTTGTTGTGACATGCAAGCACCACTAATCACCTGCATGGTTCTCTCGAGAGAGAAAAAAGGGGATATTTCATTTAGAAACTGCACTTGGAGAATATTCTTGTGAATATATTGGCTAGACTGTAAAATTCTCTGTTCACAGTTCTGAAATCAGATAGATACAATAGCTTTTTTGAGCTTTCTAGTGCAGAGGATGCTCTGTTTTGAATGATAACATTCACTTTTGGAAAACCTAATACTATCAGGCTGGCTGTGTGTCGTCTTGAATAAAGCTTACTAAATGAAGCAGAGGTTTTGCGGCAGCACTGAAATGCAATGTAAAGAGTGGATTTTTCACTGTTTCATTCTTATGCCTAGTGGTCTTTTGTAGACTGTTCAGCCTGATTTTAGTCTTAGTAGATTACCTTTAAATTAAAGTAAATCAAAGCTTCGAATTTACTGGAAGTGTACTAGTTCACTAGAAGCCTAACAAATGCAAAAGAGCACAATCTCTACAGCATGCAAACCCAAATGGCAGAAGTAAAATGATTCAAACAGCAGATTTCTCCTGTTACAACATTAATGTTATTGCTATTCCAGGCTTTCTTACTCTTGTTAAATAACAGTAGACTGAATAAAAATGGAATGAGAACTCTGATGGATATGCAAACATAATGATGACAGTATAATAAATTACTGCTTACCATTTCCTCAGTGCAAAATCTGCCTCTTTTGAGCTACACTGCACCAAAAGCATTATAATATTATTCAGGACAATACAAGGAATACATATTTGTATCAAAATCTACTTAGAGTAATGAGTATTCCTGCTTCCTAAAGACAAAAGCAAAATAAAAACCCAGGAGGTTTTTCATCTCATTGAAACTGTACATGATATGCTAGTAATGCAAATGCATACACAGAGAGACATATTTATATAAGGTTAAAATACTGTCTGAGTCTTAGCACGGTGTCTTGCATGTAGAATTATATTGTATCTAGAATAGCCTACTCTGTATCTAACCTAAAATCATAGCCATAACCCCTGAAGGTAATTTTATTTGACCTCAAGTTAAAATAAAAAAGGAGCTTATAAAGCAGCCATTTCTTTGCTATTTCTGTGGCATCTGTCAAGGCACTGCAAGTGCTGCCTCAGTGCAGAAAGTGTTAGTGCTGCTGAAACATGTTATTAGTGTAAATCTTGGCTTGCACTTGACTTTATATTTAATGATAGGATGTCAGAACTACTTTGATCTGTATTAATGTAGTTGATAGAATGAAAATACTTTCAGTCAATTAGTGTTTTGCTCTAATGCAGTTAGCTACACCACCCAGTCTTCAACTACTGATGTTTTGTTACACTACAATCTGTCTTTCATCCACTACATAGCTAGGTCACTTACCACAAGGCAATAACAAATCTTGAATCCAGGTTTAGCCACAAAATAGTCATCAGATTTGAAGGTAATCTTTATCTGATTTGTTTTCGAGGTTATTCTTGGAGGTACTTCCTTGTGCCCACACCATCGTCCTCGTATAACTGTGCTGGTCTCCGATACGTCTTCTACTTCCACAAAGTCATACCTGGGAGGCAGTTTGATAGATAACTCTAGTTACATGCATTTGTTGCAAACAGACAGAAACACAGTTTGAGATACAAAGATAACTGTCCACTGTTCTCCACTACAAATGGTGGACAGACTTCCCTAGCACAAAATATTATAAACTGCAAGTTACTGTCCAAATACGTGAACAGCTGCTTTTTTCACTCTTGGAACATGACAGGCAATATTTTCTGCCATGTTGAAAATGCAATGTGAGGCACTTAAAGGTATTAAATATACTCATGGTGTTCCATGTGGTAAATAGAATTTAGACAAAATATTATTTAAGGCATGTTACCCAAGCCCAGCAGCCACAAGCATTTCTGGCCTTTCTGGTGGTCCCCAGTTTCCCTGCAGCAGCTCCTTCCTCTCATACCTTCCACGTGGAGCGGGAGCTGGGCTGCTGCCACCGCTGCAACAGGAGAGGCATGCGGGGCAAGGGAGAATAGATGCTCCTGAGAGGTGCCCTTTAGGACCCTCAGAAGCAGTTGCTGCCCCTGCCTCTCCCATACCCTTGCTGACAAGAAGCCTTGCCATGATGGCCAGGAGCTGAGCATGCAGCCCAGCAGGTGCTGGTCGCCGAGGCTCCCTGTGCTGGTCACTGCCCTCCCACAGGAGGGGCCTGTCCTGCACCCTGGGGCGAGCCCATGAGCTGCCCATCGATCATGACAACTCCCAGAAAGGAGAGGGCTAAGCTCTGCATACTTAGAGTTTCATGGAGAAAGGGTTTCCTGCAACAAGACATTTTAAGAAGCTAGGAACCAGAATATACTTGGTGGGTGGCATGATGTTCCAGTTAGATCATTTGGAAAAACTTGTTTCAGATTTTCAAATAGAAAACAACTGGCCTGTTTTCCATAAGCTGAAGCAAGGGATAGCTGCACTCTGTTTGCTCAGGTACTATCACTGTAGGAAGGACAACAGACCTGCCATGCTGTGGTGGCAAAGGCAGCAGTATTTTTTTCCCTGTGCAAGGTCACACCTTTGCTTGCTGTCAGGTATATATATCACAGCCCCTCAGCCTAAGCATCATCTCTGTCAGGACTTCAGCCGCTGGATATGAGAAGAGCTGAAGGGCCACACAACGGCAGCGTTGATTACCACTATATATTCGCTGACTTGTGCCATTTATTGAATTTCCTTGGGGTTGCTAGAGAATAACAAGGAAGTCAGAGAATAAAATCCTGGTGTTATTAAGTGTATGGGAAATAGCCCCTCAGTGTCAGTGGAGTGAGAATTAAGCCCCACATATCGCAGCTGGGGAGGGAGAGCTGATGACAAGATGGGCAGGAGAAGCTCATAGATAGGAGAATGAGAAATGCAAAAGGTTCACAGTACAGTTAAGCCTTAAAACTTTGGAGGTCTTTACTCAGGAAAGGTTGTTATTATCAAAGCATGTGTTGCTCCAAAAAGGGCATTTAATATTGTTAACTGATTCTTACTAGAAATGTGTTATCAAAGAGTTGCTCTATCCCCTTGGGTCTGTGGATCAAAATGCTTGCCTCTCTACCCAGCTTGTGGGAACTGAAGAACTCTGTAAATAACAGACCTAGTTTTCTTTTTCTGCTGAGAGGCCATGTGAAAAAAGAAAACCAAAGTAAGTACCATGCAGCTTGAAAATATCAGCATTACTGCTTTTATGCTCACAAACCCCAAATTACACAGAACAGAAAATAACAGATTTACCATAACCAAATCACTGAATCTGTCTAAACTCTGCTGAAACACACATTTTTTATGCCATAAGAATGTTTCGTTCCACACAAAGGTACCCTGGCTCCCCAGCTGCCCGTGCTGTCCCCCTGGGGCTACCCCCACAGCTGCACCACAGCCCTGTCCTTGCGGTGGGGACCAGCTCGGGTGTGTGCAGCTTTGAGGCTGTGCTCCAAGGTCATCTTTGCTCAGAGACCCTCAGGGCTGCCTGAAGCCAGCGCTGGTACCTCCTGCCCTCGGCTGCGCATGCCTGGCTTCTCACCCTGCAACGCGCACACTGAGTGTGCCTGGCCTTTTGGCTGTTAACACTTACGGTAAGATGAGAAGCTGCAAATTTTCAGCAGAAGATTCAGTATGACCTTGTATGCTTTAGTGAAAACTACCTGTCTGGCCTACACTTCCTGCGGTCAGGAGCCCGACCACCTGCTAGCAAAACTCGTGCAAATCTATTGACTTCAGAGGAAGCATTTCTGCTTTCAAAAGCAGTGGCTTTGCTGCAAAGATCATGCACATATGTGTAATCGCAGTTGTTTCTGTACTCAGAAGCTGGGTAATTTAATTGCTTTTCAGAATCATCTCTTATCAAGTGCCTTTGGAAGTGCTAATAGCACAACTAGAAAAATGTGTAAAACCTTGAATATTTCCCATCCTTCTGAAACAGCTCTGGTAAAAATAGTTTTTTTCATTCCTCAGCCTGACTGAATTTCAATCACTTCAGTCCTAATAGTATGCAAATTGCAATAATTAGCATTAGTGAAAAATTGAAAGAAAACATTAGGATATTTCTGGAAGAAAATATAAGGCCAAAAGGAAGCAAAGCTGTGGAGACCCCATCTATTTAAAGCGGTACCAGAGATATTGTCAGGGTATAAAGTTAAAGAAAGTACCTACTTTTGAAAAACATACCACCATATCTTACTTAAAAAAAAACTCACTATGTACTGTACAGTACTTAGCAATCCTAAAACCATTACAAGCTGTCTCCATGAGAAATTCTTCACTCTGGAAATAATACTATGCAAATAAAAGTCTTCCAGTAACTCCAGGGAAAGTTCTATTTCAGAAAAGAATGTGGTATTTTTCCAGCTTTTATAGACGCTATAGATTATGGAAGGTCTTTCCTTCTCTCTGCATCATAAATTAGTTGTGCTGGAAAAAGCAGGCAGACTGTTTTCCAAGATGGTCAAAATCCAGTATGTCGATAATGACTTCCCCTCACCATGTCACCACCTTTAATGGCACTTAGAAGAGCACACTTCGTCTTTTTTCCACAGTAAATTAGCCCTATGTTTCAAGGTTGAAATGATTTAAGGTCAGCCATAGTTTATCCTATGTAAATATGAACAGGCCGCTTCTGTATGCATTAGCCTCTCAATCTGGAGAAGTGTTTGTGGCACTGGAAGGTAACGGTTGTTACTTACACTGCTGTTGATTTCAGACCAGCAGCACCAGAGCAGAGCAGAGCAGACACTGCCAAGACAATAAACATGCAGCGAAGGAGGGCCAGTTTCAAGCTGCATTCTTTTATTATTAAATGGAAAAGAAACCTGAAGAAATGGTTCTCTCTATTGGTAATGCAGAAAAAATGAAAAACAAAAAGAAAACAAAACTTCCCTGTAAGAACCCTGCAGAGTTGCCAGACCCTATAAATACCAATTAATAGACAAAGATGGTAAAATAAGCTGGGGGGTGTGCAGAAATCCTAACAATATAGTTCTCTGCATT